TCCCCACATCATTTAGGTCTCCCGCCCAGCCTTTCCTTGCCGACTCCCTGGGCGTTAATAACTCTAGACTAGACTTATTGGTACTTATTCACAAAATAACATTAATTTGATATTAATCTCCAAATTTTTTTCCTAAAAACCGTCGACAGTAGCCTTGCTGCTCGAAACGCATTAAATATTATATTACTGAATGCTCTCGAAATGACGCCCGATATTATATATAGAACAGAGTCTTGGACCCATTCTCTAATTCCTGATTTTTCCATTTTATAGATTACTTATAGTTCCACCGTCAAGACAGCACAGCTAGGCGTGGGGGTGGATGTCTACTTTATATTAAATCCCACCTAAAGCACTCTCCCTATTATCTGGATGTTTCTTCATTCACGGAAACTTCTCTTTTGCATCTATTATTCTCTCGCCACAAAGGAATGCAATTATTGGCTTGTCTACAGTCCCCAAAACTCTTCATCCAGTGATGATGTACAACTCTGTGAAATCCTGAAATTAATTTCGGAAGCTGCTTTCGATGTTAAAATAATCGCTGGGTATTTAAACCTTCCTGAAATAGGCCGGGTTTCCAATATCTGTCCACCTAGATTCCAGCCCTTCCAAGATATTGTCAATTTTTCTAACTGGTCTCAGGCTGCGCGCTCTCAAGCAGGAGATAATCATACTTTAGATCTCATCTTTTCCAATGGCACTGCCCCTCTTTTTGTTGCTTTCAAAAAGCACCTTTTTGATAGTGACCATGCATTAATTCATTGTTGCCTACCGCTTGCTTTTTCAAAGAGGACCAGCTCAGCTCGGGCCTACCTAAATTACGATTGCGTGGATAACGATTTAATAAATAACAAAATTGAATTATTGAGCTGGCGTGGTTTGCTCTCCTGTGATGATGCAACCCTTGCTTGTGACGTCATGCGCAATGTTTCGTACGAAATCTAGGACTTTGTGCCTCGTACAAATCGCACGTCTAATTCTTCGGATTGCCTTGTTTCTCATTTTCTTTGTAACACACTTAAAAGTTGAAACGGTAATTTCGTGACCTATCCACTAATTCTTCATTCATCCATCTTAGAATCACGGATATTTTCGAAATGGCCTCAAGGATGCGCCAAGCGCGACAGGCAAAGAGAATCACTTTCTGTCAGTGATCCGAAGCCTGCCAAATCCGCGCTAAAATCTTCTTTCATCGGTCTTCCTCTAAGCGTGGTCACGAAAGTCCACTCCCGCTTAACGATAACAAAATCTTTCTTATCGATGACACTGACAAGACCGAGTTGTTTAATGCCTCCTTCGCAAAACACCTTACTACTGAGTCCGAACCAGTCCCTTTCTTTCGTTTACTTTCAGATAGGACACTGAGTACAATCGATCTCTCCTTAGATCTAATTAAGAAACATGTAAGTTGTTTGAAAAACTCACACTGCTCGGGAACGAACGAACTCCAAAATTCGACTATTCAACTCACATTGGACTTTTCCATATTGCTTAGTCATTTATCCTCGGTTTATATTTCGAACAGACTTTTCCCAAAAACATGGAAGACGTCAATTATCCTTCCTCTCTTCTGGTCTGCATCTCGATCCGCTGCTAGTAACTACAGAGGCGCGCACAGAACTTCCTCTCCGACAAAATTTTTCGAAAGCATAATTTTCAAAAAAATTATTTCTGTCTACCTAATCGGCTTCTGAGCACTAATTAGCGTTGATATCTACCTCAAAGATCCTGCGAAACTCGCTACTTAGCCTTTCTTAACCTAATCATTTCTCTTCGTAAGGGAAAACAGTCAGTGTTACTTATCTATCTTGATCTTAGTAAAGTCTTCGACAAAGTGCCAAATAGACGTCCTCTGGTAAAATAAGAAGCTCTCGGCATCCGGCCTCCTATATTCGAATTCATCGAGTCCTACCCGTCCAACCGCTATCATCAAGTCATGGTTAGCAGTAGCTACTCGATACCACACTCGATCACGAGTGGCGTACATCAAGGCACGGTTCTGGGCCAGCTGCTGTCACCTCTCAATACCAATGCTACTTCGACCGAAATCGGAAATTCACAAACGCATATTTCTGTCAATTACCTCAAGTGTCGATACCAGCGCAGATGCGAGTTCCAAAAACTGGTTCATAAGAAGTCGAAGCGATCGCTGGAACAAAAGCTTTATTCTCCTGACGGTTCGGATTCCCGCTGAACCCATCATCATAGACAGTGACAGAAACGGGTGATTCGTGCACAGGAAGTTGCAGTATTTACATGATGCAGCCGCTATGTTACTGCATACCGGTGATAGTTAATCACTCTCCCCTTCATCGAGAATTGTTGCCCGCTGGTGCGCTAATTGCCTGATAGCCGGCATGCAAGTTGTTAATTGCTGAAATCTCATCACCCGTGTTGGATGCTGGCGTGATGATTGCTCGACCATCTGGCTCACCGGCTTGAGCACTCCCCGAGTGGTCAGTTACATTGGCCAGCCTATGCCTCAGCACGGAATATGGAGTGGGGATGTCGTTGCACTTGTTGATAGACTGAGGTCCCGTGAACCATGACTCAATCAATTCGCAGCTCACGCGATTATCACCTCTCACGAGAATTTCGGCCTCATAGAACTTAACTGTGTGGCCGAGTCTCATCGACTGGACCGCGACCTGAGAGTTGGCGTCATTTCTCCAGACCGCTGCCGCGTGTTCGGCAATTCGCGTCCGGTGTAATCTTCCAGTTTATCTGACGCAGTTGCTTTGTTCGCAGCTGCATCAGATCCGGTAAACGACTCCAGATGTTTCCTGCCGTGGCAGTGGGTCTTTTTGTCTCATCACCTGACACCTTATGGTGGCCTCCGGTCTCTGTGCAACTCCAACCCCAAGTGGTGCAAGAAGGCGACTAACGGTCTCGAAGACGTTCTTGATGTACAGGATCGTTCGCCAGAATTTGGGGTCGGCCGGATTTCGTCGCTAGTCTTGTTTGCGCATGCACCGGTTGACGAAGTTGCGCGGGTAACTACTTTCTCCGAAAACCCGTCGAAGATATTGGGATTCGGCTACCTTGTCTTCCGGTTCACTGACGTGCGTCTCAACACGCCGATATAGCGTTCTTACGCAACTGCGTTTGTGGCTGATTGGGTGGTTACTGTTGAAGTTCAGTATTTGCGCCGTGTTCGTCATTTTCCTGAACACTTTGGTCATTAGGCCAACTGACTGTTCTCTTCATCCTTCATCGTAAATTTTATGTCCGGGAAGACGCTGTTGAGACGTTCTTTGAACGTTAGCATCTGATCCCGTTCGATGACGACGAAGGTATCGTCAACATACCGAGCCAAGAATTTCGGTCGGTCGTGTTGGAAGACCAGCGACTCTAACCGTTGTAGGACCGCCTCGGCGATGAATCCCGAAATCGGCGAGCCCATTGGTGTTCCCTTCACTTATTCGTAGATTGTTCCGCCAAACATGAAGTATGCCTTGAGACAGGACCTTAGGAGCTGAAGGACTTGGGCATGTGCATGAGTCACCATTTTCTGCCTTTGTCTCTGATGATGGGTTCAAGTGAGAATCCGAAACGTCAGACGAATAAACCCCCTGTCCCAGCGATCGCTTCTTCTTCTGGTAAAGTTAATGTTTGTCGGTGTGTCAGGATTGTGTGCAGTGGTGATGGATACAGTATCTACCGCAGAGGATGTTGGGGCGGCGGAGGATGACAGTTGGGGTTCATGAGCACAGTCAGTGTTAGTAGTCCGGAAATTTTTGTAACGTCAGATATGATCACCTCGTCGGCGGCAACCCGTGGCGACATCTCCGTAGAAGTGCCGTTTGGGTAAATGCTCATCGTCCATGCGCACCAGATGGCCGCTCCAGTGCAGTTGCAGTTGCCTCAGCATGGCGTAGATACTGAGAATTCCCGTCTGTTCCAGTACGTCAGTGTCCGGGATCCGGTCCTGCCACCTCAGCTTCACTATCCGTCAGGGGCAGCTGGGGTGGAAGTGGTTGAGTCTTTGCGCCTGTTTCTTGTACACCGTCCAAGTCGCCGATCCATACAGTAGGGTCAGTAGGATGACTGCCCTTTACATCTTCAAATTGGTGCTGAAGTGGGGACCGTAACGATTCAGAAGATGAAGATGCGATCACTGGAACAAGAAATTTATTGGCCTGACGTTTCGGATTCTCACTCGAATCCATCATCAGAGGCATTCGCAGATAAAAGGTGATGGTGGCACAAGGAGGGCAGTATTTATAGCACGTGGCTGCCGTTGGACCGTATGCGCACTGTAATTAACAGCTCTCGCAATCACCCCTGGAGTCGTAATTGATGCGGTGGTGGCTTGTCGGTCCGAGTCCGAGTCGTTAATGGCCGTGATTTCGTCATCCGTGCTGGATGCTGGTGTGACGACTGCTCGGCTAACTGGCTCACTGTCACTGATAATTGCTCGCCCGCGCCCTCCCCACGTGACTGATTCTCCTGTCCAGGGAAAATCGCAGCAGGAGAATCAGTCACGTGGGGAGGGCGCGGGCGAGCATTGTTGCACTTGGTGTGATGACTGTTTGGTGGCGTTACTTGTTGCAATTTCATCATGAGTGTAAGAACGCTATATCGGCGTGTTGAGACGCACGTCAGTGAACCGGAAGACAAGGTAGCCGAATCCCAATATCTTCGACGGGTTTTTGGAGAAAGTAGCGCACCAGCGGGCAACAATTCTCGATGAAGGGGAGAGTGATTAACTATCACCGGTATGCAGTAGCATAGCGGCTGCATCATGTAAATACTGCAACTTCCTGTGCACGAATCACCCGTTTCTGTCACTATCTATGATGATGGGTTCAGCGGGAATCCGAACCGTCAGGCGGATAAAGCTTTTGTTCCAGCGATCGCTTCGACTGCTTATCGACCTTGTGTGTGTTGCCTCATATTCTAAGGACACCGCACATATTTTTGTTGAGAAATTTAAATTCGATTCACTACGTTTGAGCAGATGCATATCAACGCGGCAGATGGAATTTTCATCGTCTTAGTGCAATTTCATGTCTTTTGCTTCTGTCAGCTTTCCTGGTCCGATAATTTTTCATTGTAATCCACTTTCAGAATGCTTTTCTATAAAGGACCTAGGTTTAATTTATACAGATAATTTTGCATTACCTCCTCATGCAGATCGAATCCCTTCCTGAGCTGCACATATATATGGGTTCATATCACGTAGTTTTTTCGCTCTGGAAATGATGCTAGGACTTTTTCAAATGTTTGTTCTTCGTACCCTCGAGTACTGCTGTCCTTTCTTTGGTCCAATGAAAGCCTGTGACCGCAATAAAATCGAAAATGTTTGCAGGGTTTTCATTCGAAATCTCCTCGCAATCTGCATCCGGTATTTCTATTATTCAGAGATGTCAGCTGGCGAACATTAAGTTTTTATGGATTGGAAGAGTCGAAGTTGGCTTTTGCTTCCTTTTTCGCATCAACTCTAGCTCTAGTCTTCCACGCACTGACACTCTCAGTCCGAGAGATTGGTCTTTTACTACGCGTTACTCCGCCATGGTGATTCCACCGCCTCTATACATCTAAATGCTCCCTCTTCTTCGCATCCATTATGCCTTCCTTAAGAATAATCTTCCGCCAGAACTTAGGTCATCGCTTAAGTTATCGGTATTCAAATCGGAATTATACATGCACCTTACACCACAAAGCCTAATGTCAATATTGGCTGTTTCATTCCCTAAAATTTCGATTTTTAACTTTGAAAAGGGTTCTCCTGGGATTTAATAGTAGATCAAGTGGAAACCTTCATATATATATTTACAACCCCTCTTAGTTTAGTACTAAACCTACTGTCATTACTTCCCCCTGAAGCGTTGATTTTCGCGGTTCTTGGTGTCACCTCCTCAACTAAACCTCGACTCCAAGCAGTCTGTCGACGCTCACGGCGGAATCTTCTGTATTCGCCATCTACAGGTAGTTCGATCGATCAGCAAAGAGATCTCATTGCCGTATCTATCTGATGACCGCTTCAGCCTTTAATGCCCCTCCCCTCGTCTGGACTCGAAGAGTACTGGGGCCGATCGCATCTGGGTGTCTCTCGTCTCGCCACTTTGACGCGAATAGCCTCATCCGGTTTAGGAATTCTGCCTTGACGACGTCTGTTTCCAGTCCCTTATGCACTACCACGTGCAGGCCAGTCATGTCGGACCTGCATACTTACCCTTTCATGAGTGGCAGTTTTTTCTACCCTGACGATGTCCGTTGAGAATACGTTATACACCACCATACGCAGGCTAGTCCTGCCTGACCCGCACACAAATCCTTTCATAAGCGACAGTCTTTTTCTCCTTAAAAGTTAATTCAATCACATTCATTTTCTTTATTTGAAAAAATGAGTTTTCTCATCGCTCGCTTACCAGCTTTATTACCAGACTGATTATCCCATCCGCATGAACTGAATACTGTACAGATTCTGTCTAGCTGTTCTAGAATTCATATAAAAAATTTATTTTTACTTGCAATGATAGGACCCCCAAGGGTTCTAAAGAAAATGACTCATTTATTTATCGAGTGAACTTTTGCTACAACCTTTTCGGAACAACAGCTAGCAAACGTGTGTACACCCTGAATAAATGCTCAGCGGGCCAATGCAATTACATTAAAGAGATAACAACACCCTTTTTTCTAATCCTCAGAAGGATTGCAAATCGCCACCACCGACCAATATGATGCGTATTTGTGCCTTCAAATTATTTTACAAAGCAGCTGGCATCAGTCGAGCAAGCTAGTGCCCGTACATTTTTATGGGAAACATACACCAACATAGTTTTGAAAAGAACAAACGAGGATCGTACCCATCAGCAGGGGGGGGGGGTGAAGGTAAGCAGGCAGATCAGCCTGTTTCTGCATTTCCCATTGTCTAAGGCCAGCTTGCCGGACGTCTGCACGTAGTATGGAACAAGCTAGACGATTAAATTAATCGCGGAGTTGCACTACCCACCTCTCCTTTCATTCTTTAAGTGTTTGCGCTCTAAAATCACCTAAGGAAATCAACCAATTGGTTACCTTCTAGCCAGCCGTTCACCCCTTTGCTACCTCGCATTATAATTGCATTTGCCCAGCGAGAACTTATGAAGAAAGTACGCATGTCCGCCAATTTATCTTCCCAATTTTCACCGGGCATTTTCTCGAGCCTAAGGCAGTTCATATAGTGGGGAAACTTTTAGTCACTAATTCTACTGAACTCAGCATTCTCTCTCGATGAGTACAGAGGCGGCTTTTAGTATAGTTTGAGTGTTATCAGTCTTTGCCGGATTTTTATAGTATCTTTACTCGAAGTTCGCTCTAAATAAATTTTGCAAAAGAGGGTTCCGCTCCAGTCTGACAGTTCGCTTAGTGTAACCTACAGAAAATGTACCCAATCCCGAGTTATCACTGAAATAAGAAATAACAAATGGCTTTTAAAAAGTGACTTCATTCTCAATATTAAATCTAAGTACTTCTAAGACATACACAACAGAATTTATTGGTTCCCATAAATTCTGCTGTGTATGCCTGTTTCAAATTCCTTCGGGAAAACTATTGTTTCCACCAGGAAAGTCGGAAAAAGACAGCCTTTAACACTGGAATCCAGTTTTGAGCAACCAACAGGCAGGCTTAGTGTTCGCTGTACGGATCCTCATAAGGAAACAGTGTTTATTTTCTGTGATTTGAAGCAACGAGTTGAAAACAAGACCTCAAATCAAAGAGATGGAAAGTATTTAAACCTAGTTGAGGCAGAACCGCGACAGAGGAAATTAGTTTTGGTGCTTATCTACTATTATTATTACAACTATGGACGAGCGGAACTGCCATTCGTATAGTCGGCACGGATATAGCAACCATCACGCCAAATGGAAATGCGTTCCTTCTCGACGCGCGTCTCACCAAACATCCTACCTTTCCTTGATGAGTTCAGAGGGTTTGGGTTTTCTTTTGATTTTTTACGAGTGCTAATTCCCAAATATCTCCTACCGCACTTGGACCCAAACCCTGGCCAAGTTCGTTCTTAATCATGATTAGGTGTAATTTACAGTAACCCTTATCAATTCGTCTACTGTCCAACTCCTGTGGCCATACGCATTAGACGAGTAGAAAACCATTTCGGTGACTGAACGTCTTTTCACCTCTGAGTAAAAATGCCTTACTTAGTGCGTTGTTCAGCAGCAGGAACACGAAGAATCCGTTCATCGTGTGCCTCGGAAGGAGATCCGACTCAATTAGGAGATCAAAGGAAGATTATGTGAGTCCTGGGCCAAGAAGTTCATTCTTTTGACATTTCCGTTTCTCACTCGAACCCAGCATTAGAGGCGGACGTAGACAAGGCTGATGAACACACAGGTGATACGTTGTTTATAGAAAGTAGTTGTCACGCCACCACTTGCCCATCGTAATTAGCGGCCCTAACATTCTCCTTCGGGGGTCGTATTTCGTGCAGTTATTGCACGTCCGTCCGCATCCAAGTCGTTAATTGCCGTAATAACATCACACTTCTTGATTCTTGGCATGATAATGACCTGGGAGTTAGGCTCGGTAATATTGTCATTGGCAATGGTGCTCGAGCACACCCTCCCCGCGCGATCAGTTACCCCACCAGGCCAAGTCTCCGCTTGGAATAGGGGGCTTGAGGTTATAACACCTTCGTCAGCCAGTCATACCCAACCCCGAAGTGTGGCACACCTGAGGCTCGAGCTCGCGACCTGTTTGTTAGAAGTGCACACTTCTAACAACTGAGCCACGAGCCCGTTGCCTTGTCGATTTTCGATCGGGAATATACAATGCTAGGGGGCGCTCACCGATCGTTCTAACGGAACTCACTTGTTCCGTTGTGCCTTATGGACTCTCTCTCTCGAGCCCAACCAGCAGCCGCACAACGGAACGAGTGAGTTCCGTAAGAACGATCGGTGCGCGTCCCCTACCGTTGTATATTCCCGATCGAAAATCGACAGGGCAACGGGCTCTTGGCTCAGTGGTTAGGGGCGTGGACTTCTAACAAACAGGTCGCGAGTTCGAGCCTCGGGTGTGCCACACTTCGGGGTTGGGTACGACTGGCTGACGACGGCTAATAAGCCAGAAATGGCCATTCCAGTCTCCCTTGTCTTTGTCGATAATATCATTCTTTCTATATCATGCGCCGCTGTGCGGCTGCTGATTGGGCTCGAGGGAGAATCCATAAGGCACAACGGAACGATTGAGTTCCGTAAGAACGATCGGTAAGCGCCCCCTACCGTTATAACACCTGTCAACAGACCGTGGACCGCAGAACCAGGATTTAAGCGGCTCGCTGCTCACGTGACTGCCATCTCTCACGAGATTTTTGACTTTGTCGATCTCTAACGCGTGGTCGAATCTCACAAATGAACCGCGACATAAGAGCTGAGGTCATTTCCCCTCACTGCCCCTGCATTTTCGACCATCCTCCTTGTTATTAACCTCCCAGTTTCTCCAAGGCATTCACTTTGCACACAACTGCACCAGAGTCGGTAAGCTAGTCAACCGATTCTTACCGTGGGGTGGATCTTTCGGTCACATATTATGGCGCCTGATGGTTGCCTCCGGTCATGTGCAACCCCAGCACCGCAGTAGTGCGAGGAGGCGACTGACGGCTTCAGAGACGTTCTTGGCGCCAAAATTTTGGGTCAGTGAAATTTGTCCTCTCTCTCTGCTTGCGGTTGCAGCGGTTGAGGAAATTGTTGGGGTAACCGCTCGTCCTAAACACTTGTCGAAGTTATTGTACTTCACCGCACTGTGCCTCAACACGCCAGTATCGTGCCCTTACACAATTGAGTCGATGGACGATTGACGGGTTACTGTGGAATGACACATTTCCCCCATTGATCTTGTCATGGATCATATTGAACACCGACAGTATCAACGATCGACCAAGCATTAGTATCCCGAGCCGCCTGGTACTGTTGAATAAATCGCATCTCATAGCATGCAGTGCCATTGCAGTGTCCTTGAATAACGGTGTTGAAGAAGTCGGTCGCGTAAACTGACGTTAAACGGTCCAATGAAACCCGCTGGATTTTGTACGTCAGGCAATTTGCTGTTGTAACCACTGAGTTTCTTCAGCTGTACCAAAAACAAGATTTCAAGCTTGCATTTCCAAGATGAGATAAGGTAGGAGGCTTGAAAAAGTGATCAGTGAATTGGACAGGAAATTCCGAGGCTCTACCGAAAAACGCTGTGGCCGCAGCGAAGTGAGCTTTAGTCCACGCACGCAAACCGTCCAAATCGAAATCCTGCTAGAATAATGTTTTATAAAAACTCAAGAGTCCGCTACTTTTATGCATAGGGAAGGGCAAACGTCCAAACAGCCGAATAAAACACCCAAAAGTGCAATTTGTGCATCTTATTTGCATACCTGGATTTGAACAACCCATTGGAGCGCCTTGGTGTGCAGACTAAAAGACCTCAGCCGTTCTACGCACAGATAGGAAAGAGTCTAAGCATTGGAGGTCCGAAGCGCATCAACTGGACTGGGCAGGCGGAGGAGAAGGTTGTAACAACAGCTGGTCCGTCGTTATCGCTGTGGACCAACTTCATGGGAGGTTGGTGCTTGCGTGGTGAATTCAGCTTTTTGGTTTTCGCGCACACGCGTCGGTCTGAGTAGGCCAACGAGATGCCTAAATGTGTGGAAGCATGCAGGCAGGTTATGAGAGCTTGACAGTTGTTGAATGAAGCTGTTCTTTATTCGTCCCACGATGTATACGCAGACGTCCGACCACGCCAATGTGTGATATTTGGAGAGAGATGGACAGTGATGATGCTGGTCATCCGAGGTCCAGTTCGACATCCCCACCGTTACGTCTTAGTCGTTTTTGTGGCTCTGGTCGTTGCTCCAGATATAATACCACATAGCTGTGGCCGTTGATTCTGCGCAAGGCTTTGTCAGTCGTCCCAATTTATTTAGTGCTTTCAGCAGGCTGTCAGGGATTCGTTCTGGTCACTTAACTTTTAGGACTCTCAACAGACAGTCTAGGGAACTGTTCCAGCTTCTTTCGTGAATTTCCGTTGATTGTACAGATTTCTCCACCATAGAAAAGCGCTGCCAAGTCTGTAGTCACGCGCAGTCTTAGATTGATGTGGCGAAAAATATCTAGGCGATTACCTGGGAAGACTGAGGTCTACAGAGGGCGTGACTGACTTCGGGAAATCGAGCTACAAGATCGTCACAAATCATGGCTTTCCAAAGTAGGAGAATCTGTTCATGGCGGAGAGACAACTGCTGCCGAAAATGATTGTAGTTTCGTACGCTCTAGGATTTATACAGGCTGATATACGATAACTGTTTTCTCCACGTTTATGATTAGTCTGAAATTGACGCAGCTGTAAGCCAAGAATCTCGGGTTTCGCTGCATATCGTTTTCAGTTCTGGTGTTCAGTCACCAGTCGTCGGCAAAGAGGAATTTGAGTATCCTGATTCTTTCGATTTTCACGAACGATTGCATGCAGTGGACTTGGTTGTTTGTGTCAGTTTCCAGCTAGTCATGAGGATAAGCGTCCACCATTACCACAGAAGACATGGGGTTGAAGAGGTTTGTGGCGAGCACACAACCCTGTTCTGCTCCATCTGTCATGGCAGACGGATCAAAGGTGGACCCACCGTCAGTGATATGCGACATTATGCCATCGTGAAACTATGTGTCCATCATCACGAACCTGTCAGATATTCAAATCTATCACAGTTTTACAGAGCCTGTTTTGGTCTATGGTTTCGAAGACCTTGATGATACCTACGAAAGTGGTTGAGAGACTGATTCTCATTTTCCGACGTATTTTTGTGGTTCTCAAATTGCGATTATTAAGTCGGTTGATTCAGGACGCTTTCAGAATCCACATTGAGTCTCTGGGAGAATCAAGTTAGCGATTGAATAGGTGAGCGAACATTCCGCAGCAGAAAGGCACGAATGTTCAAAAGTGGAGGACCAGGATATTTATGGACTTCTGTTGTGACTAAGTCGGCTCTTGAAGCTTTTTCAGCGGACACCTGATGCGGGGAGGTTTGCTGATCAAGGTCAACGTTGATTTCCGTTTGAAGCCGCGTGTTATTGGCCGCTTTGTAAGCCGAGGATGGAAGGACGCATCTGAAGTACTCAACCGAGTTCTGGGCGATCGATAATTCACCTGACAGCAGGATGAGTGGCGGCACAGTGCAAGCCCCGGGGGCCCTTAGTTAACGTTATGTCCATAAAAAAAAACTATTTTGACATGGTCATCGTATCATTGGATTTCTTTTGTCGCAAATAGTACTGACTGGAGAAGAATACCACCCTCTGCACTCATATCTCTCCCCCCCCCTTCATAGATTGACTACAAAAACCGCTCATTTGATGCCGCATTCTCACAGTCTGACGATGGCCTCCTACACGAGACCGAAAGCTCAGACTAATACACCTACTGTCCCAGAGATCGTGTGTTCATCTTCTTTACAAAAGAATGCATCTTTACGGCAGTTCTATTGCCCGCGCAGTCCTTGTGCAGCTGAATCTTCTTAGGGAAGGGGCACTGCATTATTTCATTGTAGTCAAACCAGGTTTCGTGTTGCCAAAGTCCATATACACGGACTTCAGTGACGGTGGTACGCTGTACTCCGTCGACACATCGCTTTTCGACTTTCGCTGCATCACGCTATTGCCGATTTTATATGCAAGTATATCTAAATGTAAACCGCTGGTTTTTCGTTTGTTCTCAGATTTCTGCAGGAAGTGGGCCTGCTTACTTCTGGTACATGCTTCCTCAGTTAGTTTGCCCCGCAGATTACATACACAGGATGCTATATTTAATAGAATTTAAAGGCATGATGTTGTATAACTGCGTGATAAATGCTTATAAGAATGTTGGGTGGCTTAGAAGACAGTGAAATGCATAAAATAACCAAAAAAGCATGAGTACACATTCGTGGATTTTAAGTTTTCGCGGGGCGTTCAGTAACGCAATCTCCACGATCGAGGAGGGCCTATGGTAGATGGTTTCGTGCGCTCTGTACCACGTATTCCCAGTATTCTCCCACTCTTGACCCTTCATATCCATCACGCCGTCGTTCACTCTGCTGGTGAGGCTGCGCTTGCGCTCGACGTGGTCCAGTACTGCAGTGTCTAACCAGCTAAATATTAACCGTGTTGTAGGGATGCCAAGTTGCGGGTCCACATGATGTTCGTAGTAGGTCGCTCACTTGCTTGCAGGTGTTGACTACGCCTATCGTCCATCAAACGGTACCCAACTCTCACATGTGGCTACCGCCAGCTGGGCTTTGCCTAAATGGCACACCACAGCAACCTCCTCGACTGGCGTGCTAAACCAGGTTGAGGGTACGCGTTGCTGTGGCCAACTCACACCCAGTAACGCTGCTTCCCCTACCACGCCTGCCCCCGTACCCCACCCCCTCCCCCACTGCTCTCTACGGTAATCTCTTCCCACACGGTCAACAGTTCTGCAGCGATGGCGACATGCAATCACGTAGGCGGCACAGGCTAACTCGGGTCGCTCTTCCACTAAACAAAAGTCGTGGCCCATAGCAAAGTCCGGCAGCCGCGTGGGATGGCTAGGCAGCTCTATTTAGGAACAGCACTACTCACCCTCTCGAGAGACGGGGCTATATAAGGTGCCCTAAAAAAATGCCAGCATAATGTCCTCTGCGCGCTGACCGTGGCTCGCAGACTGCCTAACATGCAAACGAAACAGTCAAACAAGAAACAACAGTCTTTCTCCTCCCCTCACACTCTCCACCCATTCCCACAGGCTGTTAAGGTAGGTGCGCCCATTCTGGCAGCCTGGAATGTTCGTTCCGTTTTAGACAATCCGAGGATCAACCAACCGGAAAGGAGGACGGCTCTAGTGGCTCGGAAAATGGCGCGCTACAAGGTGATCATCGTTGTACTCAACGAGACCCGGTTTTCCGAGCAAAGCCAACTGGACGAGGTGGGTGCCGGCGACAATTTCTTCTGGAGCTGATTGTCCTTGGTGAATTCAACATCCGTGTCGGCACAGACCATGCTGTCTGGAGATGAGTGCCAGGTCCCCATGGTCTCGTCGGCTCGAATGGCAATGGCCTGCATCAAGGAGAAGTCTCGCAGGATCCCAAGCACGCGACAATAGTCCATCTCTACGAGCAGAAATGTAGTTGCCAGCTCTCTAACAACCATCGGGGCATCTCATTGTTGAAAATCACCGGGAAGATTTTCGCTCGCATCCTTCTCAACCGCCTGAACAATCATACGGGACAGGGTCTGCTGCCGGAAAGTCAGTGAGGTTTCCGCCCTCATCGTGGAACCACGGACGTGAGCTTCGCCGCCCGTCAACTGCAGGGGGAGTGTCAGGAGATGCGAACGCACCTCTACTCTGCCTTCATGGATCTGAGAAAAGCCGTCAACATGGTGAAGCGCCGAGGAAAATCATACGTAAATTCGGCTATCGCGAGCAATTCACTGAGATGGTGCGTTAGCTCCACGATGGCATGATGGCGCCTGCTGATCAACCTGACAAACTGGGAAGACCTCCTTCTCCTTCTCCTCCATCACCACCTCAAAGTATGCCGCTGTGGGGTCTGCCATGCCCATCAACACTACACACAGTTCTGACATACCATCAAACACCAACACCACCACCGTCAACACCAGTGATGACGGCCTGGTATATACCTGTCCTCAATGCGATCGCACCTTCAACTCACTCATCGGCTTGGTCGGTCAATTGCCAATCATCGCACGGTGACTGGCGAACCAGTGTCTGGAGCACCAATTTACACTGGCCGCATCCGCCTCCACTGTCCACATTGCACTCTCACATTTATTCACCGCATGGATCTATTAGGCCACATGCGCGTCCACAAAAACCTGTGGTCGAAAACCGTCGGCTGCACCACACCATCACATCCTCCCTCACCAGCATCTCACGGCATAGCAACATCATCCACCACAAGCACCCAACTGCCACCTCCCACGAAAGTGGAAATTCTTCGTCACAGTTCCGTCTCCATGCGGCTCCTCTGCTGCATGTGTGATCGGAGTCTGGGACGAAGACGGTGTGTCAAGCACCGTGACTCGCAAGGCAGCCGACTGACCCCTCAGCTCATTCAACACAGTCTGCCCAGTTTGCGTGTGTTGTTTGGAGTGGAGAAGAACTGGTGGGCTGAGAGGCAGGCTGTCACGGTCCATTCTCAATCCATCTGTGACACTCATGCATGCGAGGAGAGTGTTCGGTTATGTACGTGTGCTTTTTGGGTAGTTACTCTCAGTCGACGACTGCTGGGTTACCCATCCTTGAAGGGTGACGGCTCAGGCTAAATGCTGGGTCATGAGTCGCCCTTCTAGGTCAAAAGGTCTGAAGGCGTGTGCTATGCCAGTATCGCAGCCTAGTATGTGCTGGCAATCCCCTGACACCTGGATCCTTGCCGGTGGATGCGCTTGCGCTCCTGCTGGGTACAGAGGTGGTGGGCATGGCTGTCAGTCACGGTTATCCTTCTGACCCCTGCTGGGGTGTTGTTGTTGTTTGTGAAAAATCCTGGTGAAGTGCATGTTGTGGGGGTGTGGTGGCACGTCCAGGTGCGGGTCCAGCCGTACCAGCCATCTACGCCCTCCCCCACCTCTGGTCTTCTTACTTCTTGTTGACTCCGGGTTCGGGCGTGAGAAGAGGAGAGAGTGCGGCCGATGATGCGCGAGTCCACTATCACAACAAACTAATTCATGCACAAGTCACCATGCCTGCTGCACTTTACTGTGTATCACACGGTGGACATCGTTGGAATCGACGGTCGAAGTTCTTTATGAGTATTGCCTCCCAGTCGATTACTGACTGGCTACCGGGCCCTCGGAGGGTGACGGACTAGGTTAAATGCAGAGCTGTCTCTCACCCTTGTGGTCATTAAGGACTGTGTGCGTATGCTATTCCACGCCTCGGCAAACCATGGCTCTGGCAGCCTTGTGTGTGCTGACAGTTCCCATGCACCTAGTTCGCCGCCGATAGATGCGCTTGCACTCCCGCTGGGTATACAGGTCTCGTGCATGGTTGCTCGCTCATCCTCCTCTTTCTGACTCGTCATTGCTTTTGGTTAAAATGCTGGTTAAGTGCTTTTGTGGAGCAGGGGGTGTGGTGGTACGCCTAGGTGCGATTCCGATCGTATCAGCCACCTGCGTGCTCCCCCGCCTTCGGTCTTCTTGACTATGTCCAGACACCGAGCGCAGGCTGGAGAGGAGGCGAGAATGCGCTAGATGCTCTGGCACTAGTCCACTGGCACTATAAACCAACTCTCGCACAAGTCACCGTGCCTGCTGTCATCTTGCTGTGGAGCACACGGAGGACATCGTCGGCAACGACGATCGAACAGCAAGAAACAACACGAAACAAAGGGCCGGCTGGGGTGGGGGTTTCAAATCAACCCGTGGGTTTCAATATTTTGCCTTTCTAATACTACCTAAATTGATGGTTGAATAAACTTCCATATGTATACGAGATCTTTGAAACTGTCCCACCCTGTTTCTCCTCTAGATTTATCCAGGGAAATTTTGTGGTTCAGCACAGGCCGCGAAGTGTTTGGCAAAATGAAAAGGTTTTAAATTAAGTATTCTGATTTCGTCTGCACCCCCTTGAAGGGAAATAAACTGTTCGTTGAGCTTCTAATTTGAGTAGTAATACAGTCAGCATCGTGGGAGGGCACAGCCGAAGACTGTTCCCAACGCCAGGGTCGGTGGGTCTGATGGTCGAACGATCATCACACCAACATCCAACACTCATGATGAAATTGCAGCAAGTAACGCCACCAAACAGTCATCACACCAAGTGCAACAATGCTCGCCCGCGCCCTCCCCACGTGACTGATTCTCCTGCTGCGATTTTCCCTGGGCTGGAGAATCAGTTACGTGGGGAGGGCGCGGACGAGCAATTATCACAGTGACAGGGAGCCAGTTAGCCGAACAATCGTCACACCAGCATCCAGCACGGATGACGAAATCACGGCCATTAACGACTCGGACTCGGACCGACAAGCCACCACCGCATCAATTACGACCCCAGCGGTGATTGGGTGAGCTGTTAATTACAGTGCGCATACGGTCCAACTGCAGTCACGTGCTATAAATACTGTCCTCCTTGTGCCACCATCACCTTTTATCTGCGAATTTCTCTGATGATAGATTCGAGTGAGAATCCGAAACGTCAGGCCAATAAATTTCTTGTTCCAGTGATCGCATCTTCATCTTCTGAATCGTTACGGTCCCCACTTCAGCACCAATTTGAAGATGTAAAGGGCAGTCATCCTACTGACCCTACTGTATGGATCGGCGACTTGGACGGTACTGACCCTACTGTATGGATCGGTGACTTGGACGGTGTACAAGAAACAGGCACGTAGACTCAACCACTTCCACCCCAGCTGCCCCTGACGGATAGTGAAGCTGAGGTGGCAGGACCGGATCCCGGACACTGACGTACTGGAACAGACGGGAATTCTCAGTATCTACGCCATGCTGAGGCAACTGCAACTGCACTGGAGCGGCCATCTGGTGCGCATGGACGATGAGCATTTACCCAAACGGCACTTCTACGGAGATGTCGCCACGGGTTGCCGCCGACGAGGTGATCATATCTGACGCTACAAAAATTTCCTGAAGGTTCCTCTGAAGCGCCTAGAGATCAACCCGGCCAATTTGGACGACATCGCCTGGGTCCGACCGACCTGGAGGAGAACAGTGAAGACAGGCGCAGCAATCTACGAAGCCAACCGCATGATCGCCGCCCAATCCAAACTTAACGGTCCCCATCTCGCAACGCCAACGCTCGACCGCCCTCGATCTGCTCACTACGTCAGTGGATATTCCGGACACTAATCGGACTTGCTGGACATCTTCAAACAAACTGCAGCACCCGGATGGCACCACCCGATATTCTCCCGCCCATGTCTGCCTCGCCCTCCACGCAGACTACTAACACTGACTGTGCTCATGAAACCCCGATAACATCCTCCGCCGCCCCAACATCCTCTGCAGTGGATACTGTATCCATCACCACTGCACACAATCCTGACACACCGACAAACATTAAATGTAACAGAAGAAGAAGAAGAAGAAGAAGAAGAAGAAGAAGAAGAAGAAGAAGAAGAAGAAGAAGAAGAAGAAGAAGAAGCGATCGCTGGGACAGGGGGTTTATTCGCCTGACGTTTCGGATTCTCACTTGAACCCATCATCAGAGACAGAGGCAGAAAATGTTGACTCATGCACATGCCCAAGTCCTTCAGCTCCTAAGGTCCTGTCTCAAGGCGTACTTCATGTTTGACGGAACAATCTACGAACAAGTGAAGGGAACACCAATGGGCTCGCCGATTTCGGGATTCATCGCCGAGGCGGTCCTACAACGGTTAGAGTCGCTGGTCTTCCAACACGACCGACCGAAATTCTTGGCTCGGTATGTTGACGATACCTTCGTCGTCATCGAACGGGATCAGATGCTAACGTTCAAAGAACGTCTCAACAGCGTCTTCCCGGACATAAAATTTACGATGAAGGATGAAGAGAACAGTCAGTTGGCCTAATGACCAAAGTGTTCAGGAAAATGACGAACACGGCGCAAATACTGAACTTCAACAGTAACCACCCAATCAGCCACAAACGCAGTTGCGTAAGAACGCTATATCGGCGTGTTGAGACGCACGTCAGTGAACGGGAAGACAAGGTAGCCGAATCCCAATATCTTCGACGGGTTTTCGGAGAAAGTAGTTACCCGCACAACTTCGTCAACCGGTGCATGCGCAAACGAGACTAGCGACGAAATCCGGCCGACCCCAAATTCTGGCGAACGATCCTGTACATCACGAACTTCTTCGAGACCGTTAGTCGCCTTCTTGCACCACTTGGGGTTGGAGTTGCACAGAGACCGGAGGCCACCATAAGGTGTCAGGTGATGAGACAAAAAGACCCACTGCCACGGCAGGAAACATCTGGAGTCGTTTACCGGATCTGATGCAGCTGCGAACAAAGCAACTGCGTCAGATAAACTGGAAGATTACACCGGACGCGAATTGCCGAACACGCGGCAGCGGTCTGGAGAAATGACGCCAACTCTCAGGTCGCGGTCCAGTCGATGAGACTCGGCCACACAGTTAAGTTCGATGAGGCCGAAATTCTCGTGAGAGGTGATAATCGCGTGAGCTGCGAGTTGATTGAGTCATGGTTCACGGGACCTCAGTCTATCAACAAGTGCAACGACATCCCCACTCCATATTCCGTGCTGAGGCATAGGCTGGCCAATGTAAATGACCACTCGGGGAGTGCTCAAGCCGGTGAGCCAGATGGTCGAGCAATCATCACGCCAGCATCCAACACGGGTGATGAGATTTCAGCAATTAACAACTTGCATGCCGGCCATCAGGCAATTAGCGCACCAGCGGGCAACAATTCTCGATGAAGGGGAGAGTGATTAACTATCACCGGTATGCAGTAACATAGCGGCTGCATCATGTAAATACTGCAACTTCCTGTGCACGAATCACCCGTTTCTGTCACTATCTATGATGATGGGTTCAGCGGGAATCCGAACCGTCAGGCGGATAAAGCTTTTGTTCCAGCGATCGCATCTTCTTCTTCTTCTTCTTCTTCTTATTCTTCTTCTTCTTCTGATAAACTAGTTCCTGGAACTCGCAACTTCGCTTGTGTCGGCAATTAACTTTCCCGTCCCCAACACCAGCGATGTGGACTCGGTCCATACCTGTCCTCATTGCAACCGCACCTCCACCTCGCATATTAGCCTGCGAATCCAGTGCTCTGAGCACCAACATACACCCGACGCATCCGACTTCACTGCTCACACTGGTCACCAGCACCCGCACCACACAACATCATCACCCATGACGAGCACCTAGTTGCCACCTCCCACGCAAGTGGGAAGTGTACGTCTCAGCTCCGTCTCCAGACAACTCCTCTGCTGCATGTGTAATCCGAGCCTGAGACCACCGCGGTGCGCCAAGCGCCGTGGCTTGGAAGGCTGCTGACTGACGCCCCAAGTTAGTCCACGCATTTCGTCCAGTTTTGTGTGTTTTTGAGGAGTGGCGGACTGGTGGACTGAAAGCCAGGCTGAAACGGCTTCTTCTTAACGTGGCCTACGGCAATCTTACGCATATGAGATGTATGTCGCTCAGCCCCGTTGTGTGAAATCGTGGTGCTTGTGTTTGAGGGACCATGTCGTACATGTGGCGCGCGTAGACAAGGTCACTAAGTATGTCAGTCATCGCGCCCATTCCCCGCACCAGAAGATTGACCGGCTCGGACAGTGACTGGGGCCTGTGAATGTGAAGGGAGAGTAAGGTTGGCGACTCAACGCACTTTCCTAAATATAAACAATCTGACGCGCTTGAAGCTTTTATGGCACATTAAAAGCCCTGGCTTGGGAGGTTACCAACTGACGGGATAACTTGGACCTCGCAGTAGGCCCGGTGTTGTGTGTTTGAGTGGAGTGGCCGGCTGGTGGTCTATGAGTCAGACTGCAATGGCTCCTTCTTCATGTGGCCTTTATGGCTCCCCTACTCCGTGGGAGCCAAGCCAGGTGTGAGGGCACCCATAGGTGCGGCTCCGGTCGCGCCAGCCAATTTTTTGTTGGTTGAAATCCTGGTCATATGTGGACCAGGGAACATGGAGTGGGGCGCCAATGTGCGGGCTGGACCGTGCCATCCACCTACTCCCTCCACCGCCTCCGGTCTTTTCGAGTCTGTCTTGACACCGGGCCCAGGTGGAGGAGGGGGAGAGAGTGCGGCAAACGCAGCGCAAGTCTATGCTCACTATAATCTAAATCACGCGCAAGTTACGGTCCCTGCTCTCATCGTGCTGTGATGCACACGGTAGACGTCGTCGGCAACGACGGCCGAACTGTCATCTAAAGCCCTCAACCCCTACAACAGACCACGGGGCAAATGTGCTGAGCCGACACGGGGCCAGACCAGGACCCGGCAAGCGCATCCGTGACAAATACCAAACTTGGGGGATATGATGGCATGCCTGGACGCGGACTCACGTAATGTTATCCCCCTTGCGCCTAATCTCTCCCCCGGTCTTCTTGACTCTATCTTGACACCGTGTCCAGATGTGTGGAGGAGGAGAGAGTACAATAGATGCTCAGAAAGTCTGCTTTCACTCCAGACTAATCCAAACGCAGGTCACTGTCACTGCGCTCACGCTGTCTTTGTTCGCACGGTAGAAAACGTCAGAAGTGACGATCAAACTTTTATCCGAAACCTGGATACACCCTGAAACTCTGGAGGCTATACCAGCAGCAGCCCTGTCCTCAGTCTGAGCTGATGAAATAACGGATAATGTCACGAGTTGGATCCACCCATGCACACGAAATTTTCATCTATGTAACGTGTGCGTGGGTGGCTCTGTCACACGCCTAAACACACCAATGACTCAGCTACCAGCACTGGTTCCGTAGTTGGCTATTCGTCAGACCAAAAATAGCGTGTGGTTCAGGTGATGAGTTGAGTCCCTACTATAAACATCCTTATTTGTTTCATGATTTTGTAGATAGGCCAGAATTCCAGTGTGATCGGGCTTTACAATAGCCGTTTCGTAGTGTTTATTTCCTGTGCACACGACTGTCGGCCTCGCAATATGCATCGAATTGGAGACGGCAACCAGGCCAAGACAACCTACCTAGTGCGGGGGAATGTTTTCACTTCCGGTGGAGTTTACTATTCAAAGGCTGAGCAAACAAGATGCACCTGACAGGAACAGCTCTAGGAGGGCTTAAAGACAAGTTCAAAATCGTACGACAACACGGAAGGTGGGATACTTTTGCTAAGGGAGTACTACGTTGATCAAGAATGAATTAAAGTTGGGGACAGAGGACGTTTGGCGGAACTTCTCAACTGAACGAAAAAAACTTTATTGGAAGCTTATTCGAATATCAGGATTGTGGCCGTGCGGTCTGTGTCGTGTCCTTTACCTGTTGGTCAGTGTAAGAACAATCGTCGCGCTTGCGATGCAGATGAACGGTAATTAAGAAACTCATGGGGCAGTAAGCATGATCCAGCTTGTCCGCGCTGTCAGACCCGTTCGCTGTGACACAGCAATCCCAGATTTCAGTACTCAGTCCTACAGCAATAAAGGAAATCTTTCGGATTCTCTAAGTTCCGCGCATATTCCCATGTTACACTTGAAAAGTCAAGTTGACAAACATGTGTTTTCGGTAACTCTTCGTCAGGCCAGTACAGTTACATGAAGGAATGAAAATGCACATAATTAACAGTGTTTATAGGTGTCACAAGGGCTAC